TATACATACAGTACACGACGGTATACATACAGTACACAACGGTATACATACAGTACACAACGGTATACATACAGTACACAACGGTATACATACAGCACACGACGGTATACATACAGCACACAACGGTATACATAGAGTACACGACGGTATACATACAGCACACGACGGTATACATACAGTACACGACGGTATACATACAGCACACAACGGTATACATACAGTACACGACAGTATACATACAGTACACAACAGTATACATACAGTACACGACGGTATACATACAGCACACGACGGTATACATACAGTACACGACGGTATACATACAGCACACAACGGTATACATACAGTACACAACGGTATACATACAGTACACGACAGTATACATACAGTACACAACGGTATACATACAGTACACAACGGTATACATACAATACACAACAGTATACATACAGTACACGATGGTATACATACAGCACACAACGGTATACATACAGTACACGACGGTATACATACAGTACACGACAGTATACATACAGTAAACGACGGTATACATACAGCACACAACGGTATACATACAGTACACAACGGTAGACATACAGCACACAACGGTATACATACAGTACACAACGGTATACATACAGTATACATACAGTACACAACGGTATACATACAGTACACAACGGTATACATACAGCACACAACGGTATACATACAGTACACGACGGTATACATACAGTACACGACGGTATACATACAGTACACGACGGCATACATACAGCACACAACGGTATACATACAGTACACGACAGTACACGACGGTATACATACAGTACACGACAGTATACATACAGTACACGACAGTGTACATACAGTACACGACAGTATACATACAGTACACGACAGTGTACATACAGTACACGACTGTATACATACAGTACACGACAGTGTACATACAGTACACGACAGTATACATACAGTACACGACTGTATACATACAGTACACCAGGGTATACATACAGTACACAACGGTATACATACAGTACACAACGGTATACATACAGCACACGACGGTATACATACAGTACACACCGGTATGCATACAGTACATGACGGTATACATACAGTATACGACGGTATACATACAGCACACAACGGTATACATAGAGTACACAACGGTATACATAGAGTACACGACGGTATACAAACAGTACACGACGGTATAAATACAGTACACAACGGTATACATAGAGTACATGACGGTATACAAACAGTACACGACGGTATACATACAGCACACGACGGTATACATACAGTACACACCGGTATACATACAGTACATGACGGTATACATACAGTACACGACAGTATACATACAGTACACTACGGTATACAAACAGTACACGACGGTGTACATACAGTAAACGACGGTATACATACAGTACACGACGGTATACATACAGTACACGATGGTATACATACAGTACACAAAGGTATACATACAGTACACGACGGTATACATACAGTACACACCGGTATACATACAGTACACGACGGTATACATACAGTACACAACGGTATACATACAGCACACAAGGGTATACATACAGCACACGACGGTATAAATACAGTACACGACGGTATACATACAGCACACAACGGTATACATACAGTACATGACGGTATACATACAGTACACAACGGTATACATACAGTTCACGACGGTATACATACAGGACACGACGGTATACATACAGTACACGACGGTATACATAGAGTACACAACGGTATACATACAGGACACGACGGCATACATACAGTACACGACGGTATACATACAGCACACGACGGTATACATACAGCACACGACGGTATACATACAGTACACGACGGTATACATACAGTACACAACGGTATACATACAGTACACAACGGTATACATACAGTACATGACGGTATACATACAGTACACGACGGTATACATACAGTACACGACGGTATACATACAGTACACAACGGTATACATACAGCACACAATGGTATACATACAGTACATGACGGTATACATACAGTACATGACGGTATACATACAGTACACACCGGTATACATACAGCACACAACGGTATACATACAGCACACGACGGTATACATACAGTACACACCGGTATACATACAGTACACGACGGTATACATACAGTACACGATGGTATACATACAGTACACAATGGTATACATACAGTACACGATGGTTTACATACAGTACACACAACCTGGCTTCATCCAACACAGCCTTCCACACATCTGATGGCTCATTCCAATACGATCTGCCTTAGACCAACACAACCTGGCTTCATCCAACACAGCCTTCCACACATCTGATGGCTCATTCCAATACGATCTGCCTTAGACCAACACAACCTGGCTTCATCCAACACAGCCTTCCACACATCTGATGGCTCATTCCAATACGATCTGCCTTAGACCAACACAACCTGGCTTCGTCCAACACAGCCTTCCACACATCTGATGGCTCATTCCAATACGATCTGCCTTAGACCAACACAACCTGGCTTCGTCCAACACAGCCTTCCACACATCTGATGGCTCATTCCAATACGATCTGCCTTAGACCAACACAACCTGGCTTCATCCAACACAGCCTTCCACACATCCGATGGCTCATTCCAATACGATCTGCCTTAGACCAACACAACCTGGCTTCATCCAACACAGCCTTCCACACATCCGATGGCTCATTCCAATACGATCTGCCTTAGACCAACACAACCTGGCTTCATCCAACACAGCCTTCCACACATCCGATGGCTCATTCCAATACGATCTGCCTTAGACCAACACAACCTGGCTTCATCCAACACAGCCTTCCACACATCTGATGGCTCATTCCAATACGATCTGCCTTAGACCAACACAACCTGGCTTCATCCAACACAGCCTTCCACACATCTGATGGCTCATTCCAATACGATCTACCTTAGACCAACACAACCTGGCTTCATCCAACACAGCCTTCCACACATCTGATGGCTCATTCCAATACGATCTGCCTTAGACCAACACAACCTGGCTTCATCCAACACAGCCTTCCACACATCTGATGGCTCATTCCAATACGATCTACCTTAGACCAACACAACCTGGCTTCATCCAACACAGCCTTCCACACATCTGATGGCTCATTCCAATACGATCTGCCTTAGACCAACACAACCTGGCTTCGTCCAACACAGCCTTCCACACATCTGATGGCTCATTCCAATACGATCTGCCTTAGATTACGACTGGAAAAGTGATCTTAATATAATAACTTCCTCACCACTGCCAGCCTGAGAGAGAGAGTGTTGTTGTTGGTCGAAATGCGGAGCGTATAACACGGTATGTAAGCTTTATTTGTGTAAACAATTTAGTGAACATTGTTGTTATTATGATATGTAACGTTCAGAATTGTATTTTTGGTAAAATGTAATGTTGTTGATAGATTATTTATCGAAAAGCAAATTTGTGTTGTTTAGAATGTTTTTTTCATTAATTGACTGCTATACACATTGTTGTTTTAATCCTATCCTTCTGAGTGTATCTCGACCATATCATGGAATGAATCGACGGTTGGATTGGAATTGTCGTTCGCTCTTATTTACAGTACTCGGGTTGGGACGAGTCCAAATGTACTACCCGGGTACCCACACCCCTTTTACCCGACGCTACCCGGGTGCCCGCTGTTGGTGTCAAGTGACAGGTACAAAATGTCCGATTTGGAATAGTTTGACAGTAGCCCTGACAGAATTATCGAGATACATGTATAAAACGATGTGGTCATGCATACACTGAAGTTGATTGACGTTTTAGCTTTGTTCAAGCACATATAAGACAGAAGGAACGTGTTCATAGTCGTAAAGAAATGCGAACATTAAAGACTTAACATTTTCGTGTAACCATGTAGTTATATAGGGAATTTTTCTCATGAAACAATATATCACGTGACTAACCACGGGTCCGGGTAGTCCTGTGGGTACCCGGGTCCTACTCAGTACCCACCCGACCCGAGTACCCGAGTGCTCTATACAGTACTAAAAGGTACCCGACCCTGTTGGGTGTGGTGTCTCCGATTTTCACATTGAAACGACCGCCTCTGTGGTCTAGTGGTAGAGCGTTCGACCGGAGAGCAGAAGGTCAGGGTTCGATCCCTGGTCGCCTCATACTAAAAGACGATAAACGATGGTACTTGTTGTTACACAGACTGGCGCTCGGCATTAAGTGGGGTATTCATGTTAAACTGCGGCATGGTATGACATATATGGCCAACGGTATTGGGCAAAGATTATCCAACTTAGGTTGCCCTTTCCCTAATGTATTTGTACAGACATTGATTCCACACACACACACACACACACACACACACACACGTGCGTATGCATGTCGCTATACAAGTGCGATAATCTTGGATTTGGTTTGGTTTGTTTTTTATCGCCACACTCAGCAATATTGACATCATGAGCATCGATCCGCGCAATTGGGATATGATGAAATGCACCAACAATGTCAGTGAGCCTGACCAGCCGATCCCGTTAGTCGCCTCTTAGAACAATCACAGTCGCCTTTTACAACAAGCATTGCTTGCTGAAGACCTATTCTACCCCGGATCGTCACGTGTTGCAATAATCTTGGACGCGACGTTATCCCATGTCACCTCACCTCATGACAGACCGTTGTCCCTTGGTCCAGCAGAGACATCACCACAAAAAGGAACCCCTGCTGCTGCAGAAAGTATCATGAACATCTGTTTCTCTGTAAGTGTTATTTATCAGGGCATTATCATTTGCAGAAGACCCATGTCTTCTGTTAACTGTCCGATAAAGGCGAGGAGTGGAACAGAATCGGGGCTTCACTAAATGATAATTACCTGGCAAATACCGTTAACATTATTATAGCTGAACTGGATAGAATTTGAAAATAATTTCAAACAAAACAACAAGCAGTAGCGTAAGTTTTGTGACTGTATCAAACCCTAAGAATGGAGGTAATTGATTTACAATAAGTAACGAAGTAACTTAAATAATATGCCGTCACAAACAAGAAACGTGACGACAATGCATCAAATTTGCATCCTGAAAAACTAAATCCCAAGTGAAATGGGTAAGGCTAAGTCATTGACAAGCAGTATCTATTTCTGTTAAAGGGTACAGAAAAATCCAATCAGAATTGTTTGTATTCCATAAGAATGTTTTCGATTCTCTTCTCCGTCCAATACATATAGTTAAAGAAAACATACCCAGACATTTCCAGTGATCAGGCTTTCTAGTTGGTTCATGTAACCAATTTAACAATTGTGTTAGACAGATGACCTCAGCTGGATGATTGACCAGCCAACCCCCTTTCACTCACGTTGTGAGACAACCACGTGACACAAGAAACTCGAATACTTCATCTCCATTTGTTGCCAGCATGGCTGCTGTTTTGTTGTGTCTGTTCCTGGCGTCGATGTCCACATTGTCCAGTGGGAGGATAGACTTAACTATCTCCAGATGTCCACCCTTACAGGCCAGATGAAGGATGTTGTTACCATCCTCATCCTCTGGTGATGCATCAGCTCCTTCATTCAGTAGTAAATCAAATACGGCCTTATGTCCAAGCCTTGCTGCAGTCATCAAGGGCGTCCTGTGGTATTGCCCTTGTTTGTTTATTTCCACATTGCCCAGCTCGAGGACACGCCTAACAATATCCACATGTCCCCCCTGACAGGCCGAATGGAGGACGTTGTCACCAGCTTCATCAACCAGTGTCACATCGGCTCCTTCCTTCAAAAGTTCGTCAAAGATATTTTCATGTCCTTTGTATGCTGCCACCATCAACGGTGTCCTATCGGACTGTCCTCTACAATTGGTGCCTACAGTTTTAAGTGAAAGTACATATTTCACAATGTCCACATTCCCACCCGAACAGGCCAGTAGAAGGATGTTGTCTCCATCTTTGTCAACTTCTGATGGAAGACGCCCCTTGCTTAAAAGAAAGTTAAAGATGTCGAGTTTCCCATGTCGAGCTGCCCACATCAGTGGGGTTCTCCCGTCCTGCCCTCTCCTGTTGATGTCTACCATGCTCTTTGAGACGACATGTTCCACAATGTCCGCATACCCTCCGTAACAGGCCCAGTGTAGAATATTGTTACCTAGACAATCCACACGCCCCAGGTCAGCTTCGTTTCCCACAAGCAATTCAACAACTTCTCTGTGTCCCTTTCTTGCTGCCCACACAACTGCTGTCAGTCCATCTTCTCCTCTTTTGTTGATGTCCTCCGAGTTCTGATTCAGGATGTCTCTGACACGTTTTAGTTCCCCATCCTTACAGGCAACAATGAGGGGGGTATTAATTAGGCTGTCACCTGTAACATAAGGACTACTACTGGTCATGTGAATCAAACATCTTACAAATAAGCAATATGTTAAACAAGTAAACATGCGAGTTGTATATTATATTCATACAAATAGAAATTGTTAAGCAATGTCAAGAACATTATCACCAAGTTCCATAGTGAGTGTTGGTGGTAAATAATCTATTTCTGTACACAGTTAAACCGGTACAAGCTAAAATAAACAAGCAATAACACTCATAAGTAAAAATGTAAACAATAAACAAAATAATAAAAAATAAATCAAATTAACAAACAATACATTTACCTTAAAATTATCAATGTAATAGTGAGAATGCACCTTTAAATTAGACTAAAATTTATACCAAAATATTACACCTTATACCTTTAAATAAACAAACATACTTTGTATACATTTAATAAATACTGAATTCTTATCAAATAAATTTGAAATAAATAAAGTCAAAATAAAACTTACAAATACTGTGGATTTTCCACCCCCATAATAAATTCTTTGCGATTCCTTTTAAATCTTCTTTGATTTAAATGAATATGAAGCGTAAACGCAAGAGAATAATTCGTCTTGATTAGGCATTAAAGGCAAAATATCTGTGTTTATTATATGAAAAACAAGGATGCTACCGGGTGTTCGCCAACAGGGTAAGAATGTCCGGCCCTACCAGTAGCACCCGCTATTGAAGGTAAGCACTACTGCCGTGGGACGGCGGCCGGTAAGCAAATAAGACAATCAAGTGATTTTGTTTCGCAACAGAAGGGACGACTGTATCACACATCGTACAACTTAGCAGCATGTTATTCCACAGGTTATCATTCGTTGTATATTGTGTTTACAAAGACAATAATGTGTATAACATTAGCACCAAGTACCAAGGTGAGTGAGTGAGTGAACAAGTGTTCTTGAATTTCCCAGTCAGCAATATTCCAGTTATATCAGGACAGCCTGTAAACAAGCAAGTCTCGGACAGGTAACAATACGCGCCATCTGAACATGACGACAAACATGAAAACTAGAGTTCTACTCTGAGCTGGAATATCAACAGCTCCAGAATACTACAGCTCATAACTATTTTAGATTACGGACATGTTGTGTCATGTGCTAAACTTGCTTTTCAGTCAAAACTCTTTACTATTGTACCACTTGCGATACTGATTGAACATAATGATTTCAAAGTCATATTAGACAGCCCTGTTAGACCACAGTGAATAAATAAAAGGGACATATCCCTTTCTATGCATAAGAAATTTCTGCTAAAAGCAGAGCAGTCAGGATAAAATTTCAGTCAGGTTACTTAAAAAAATAATAGTTGCAACTGTGGTCTCACCTTCATCTGCATTAGACCCTTTACCATGCAAGGCTGAAATGAGAAAACAAGACATAGAAACTAGGATAATCTACTTATGGACCTTTTTGTGAACGAATATATGCAATGATCTAGAGCCTTGATTCACACATCCTGTCTTTTGATGGATGATATGTTGAAAATTAGATTGTTCGATAACTTGCAGTCGTTAATAAATAAGTATTATTATAATATACTGAGTCAAATTAAAAACTTCACATTTTTAAAAGTAATCCCATATATGATATACAACGGACATATGTATCAGAGAAGGTAAATTTTAATCATTAATGTCCAAAGAAAGATTTTAATTAACGGTGGTAACCATAATTTGTTCCAAGCAACTACGGTATTCGGTAATAACATCAACAGTTTAAACCCTAAGTCCCAAGCACGAGAATCTGATGGCACACAAGTTCAGTAGCGTATATGGCCACCATGTGCGTTGACAACTGCCGAAAACGCCTCCGCATGGACCTTGTGATGCTTGTGAACATATGACTGGGAAGACGACGCCATTGTTGCTGCAAAATGGTGCCAAGATCTTGCAAATTCTGTGGTTGGTTCTGGAGAGTGCGCAGACTTCTGCCAAGAGCATCCCAGACGTTTTCGATGGGATTGAGGTCGGGAGAGCTTGACGGCCAGTCCATGACGTTGACTCCCGCATTCTGAAGGAAATTCCTTTTCAAAATTGCTGTGTGGGGTCTGGCATTGTCGTGTTGGAAGATCAAACCAGGTCCATGTGCTGCCATAATAGGCAGAAGTTCTGGTGCCAGTACCTGGTCGCGGTAAGCAGCAGCGTTGAGGTTGCCACGGATGACAAGAAGCCTGGAACGTGAATTGCAACAGAAAGCACCCCACACCATGACACTTCCGCCTCGAAATCTGTCAACTTCCTGTACACAACACTGGGCGTAACGTTCATGACGGCGCCTCCACACCCTCGCCCTACCATCAGCAAATCGAAGATTAAATTGGGCTTCATCACTGAAGACGACTTGATTCCAATTCCTCTGAGTCCATCGTAAGTGTCGCTGTGCCCACAATTGACGTTGACGTCTGTGTAATTGAGTCAGAATCGGCCCGCAGTATGGCTGTCGTGCTTGAAGGTGAGCAGTTCTCAGACGGTTTCGAACAGTTTGCGCACTCAGTCTACCCCTAAACAGTTCATTTCTGGTTAATGCAGCCGTCAAAAATCGGTTACGGAGGTGACGTAAGACAATCTGACGATCCTCTGCATGTGACGTCACACGTGGTCAACCTGGCCGAGGGCGATCAGCGGTGGTACCCGTTTGCTGTAGACGCGTCTGTAAATCATAAACAGTCCGTCGACTACAACCCATCGTCCTTGCGACTTCAGCTACGGACGTCCCCGTCTTCAACATGCCGATGGCACGTTCACGTTGCACATTTGAAAGGCGTGGCAGGACAAATGGCCGTAAAGACTTTTGTCTTCTTGTGTTTTCTTTTTTTGTTAATGACTGCTAACAAGTATGGCTGAAAACACGTGCGGTATTATGGCCACGTGACCAGTTGCACGTGAAAAAACCCTTTTGCCACTATAGTGCTGTGCACATGATTTTGATCGATTCACCTACACAAAAACGGGTGTTATCTGAAGACAATACGTGGCCATTACTGTATAAATACACAATAAGGGCCCACAATGATAACTGGTCAAAAAGTTAAAATTTTAGGATTGTGAAGTTTTTAATTTGGTTCAGTATAAATACAATTTGGCTTTCAGTCAAATTAACCTTCATATCTCTTTGCAGATAAGGTTCCCACACTGAGTGCCATGAAATACTATCAACAAGTCACGGAGCCTGACAACCCGATCCATCTGGTCGCCTCTTGCTGGAAACCTATTCCAACCCTGAATCCCCACGGAGGAAAAATAATGTGGGATGAAAGCCGAAGTGAGGGCTGGGCGAGATTCTCAGTTACCCAAACCGTTAGACCTGTCGATAAGTGTCGGAGAGTTAATATCAATCAGGTTGTGTTGAACTCGGCTTTCAACAGTGTACCAATCATCTCACTGTTTGTCAGCTTAATGTGGGAGGAAGTGATTCAGGCCCTCACCTTATCACTGCTGAGGACCCCACCTGTATCTCCTCTATCTACTTCACCCTGGGAGACGAGTACTATCAAAAGATACACAGCCTCCCCATGGGATCTCCACTCTCTCCTATCCTTACTGAAATCTACATGACCCACTTCGAACAGCAAGCCCTCACAACATCACCCATCCAACCTATTTGCTGGTACAGGAAAGTTGACGACAGCTTTGTTATCCTAAAACAAGACCAAGACCCAACCCTGCTACTACAACATCTTAACCAACACCCCCGAGTACAGTTCACCATCTTAGAATCAAGACTGGCATCATCTCCACCCTCACCAAACGAGCCATCAACCGTTTCTTCTGCTGACCCCAAACCGGAGATCGAACACCTCCGCCAAGTCTTCACCCATCTCAACAATTATCCAGCCAATCTTGTCGACAAAGTCATCGCCTCTGTACTCCATCCCACACCCAGACCTGCGACCCTCAAACCTGAGTCAGCGCCCTTCCGCATCGCCCTCCCGTTCATAGGAAAAGCCTCCCACATCATCAGCCGCCGCCTCAAACAGCAAGCCAACATCGACACCCACTTCACCAGCTCCAACTCCCTCAACACCCTGCTAAGAGCCAACGGCAGGAACACAACCAAACCCCAAGAGCCTAAAGGTGTAGTTTACAAAACTGACTGCAACTGTGGACAATCTTACGTAGGTGAAACATCCCGCCCAATCAACACTAGAATGAAAGAGCACAAAACCTCAACCATTAAATGCGACAACAAATCAGCCATGCCGGACCATATCAGCAACTGTCCCAATCACAACATCAACTGGGACAACGTCCTAATCCTCGCCAAGAACCTCCTCTTCAATAAAAGAAAACTAACAGAAGCAGTCCACATTCGCCGCCACAAGCCATCAATCAACAGAGATCAAGGCTATTTCATCAACTCATCAATCAATAATCACTTGTCCTATTTAATTGGCTTCATGTCCCTATTGGCTTCCACCTATGTGTTCTCTGTCCATCGTGTTGTGACAGCACCATCCCTTTGTTGTCAACACCTATTAATGTTATCCCACTCATGTATGCAATTGTTGTTACTGTTAATCCTCTACTGTTAATCCTCCACTGTTAATGCTGAAGTGGTGTTTTTCATCTGTTTCAAGAGTTTTGTTTAAAGTTCATTTTCTATATTTTGGTAATGGTTTAAGTTTCAATTATTTTTAAAAAACAAAGTTTTTTCTTTTTAAATATTTGGTCCACTTAAAGTCATCTTCATTTGAACATCCTCACTTTGGCTTAGTGGATAAAGTGTTTCGTCCTGATATGTCACATGACCTTTGAAACCTAGAGATTGTGAGTTCAAGTCCTAAATATTTAGGTGTACATTTTTCAAGCTCTGGTTCATTGTTTTATACACAGAAAACTTTAACACTCCAGGCCAACAGTAAAAAAACCCAAAACAAGAGTCACTAAAAACAAACATTATTGATTTTCATAAGTTACCTTTACATGTTTTGACTCATTTATTTGATGTCAAGCTTCTACCAATCTTGTTGTAGGGCAGTGAAGTCCGGGGGTTTCATCCTTCACCTGATATTAATACATTCCATGATAAGTTCTGTAAACAGCTTTTACATTTAAGACGGAGTACACCTTATATTGTTGCAAGGGGGGAGATAGGTCGTTATTCATTTAAAGTAAACCAATATATGAAAATTATTAAATATTGGACTAGATCGATATTTCAAACTGATAATCCTATTTTGAAACATGTTTATGATTATCAAGTGTCCTTGGCGGATAAAGGTATTGAATATTGGGCTTTTCATGTAAAACAATTATTATCATCATATGGTTTTCGTTCTGTCTGTTGTAATCAAGATGTTCAAAATGTAAATAAATTTATCGTTTGTTTTAAGCAAAGATGTATAGATATAGATCAGCAAACTTGGTTAAGTAAATTAAAAACATTTAACAAACTTACAATGTATTAAAAAAAACAAACCATGTATTGTACTAGAAAGATACTTAAACATCAATACCTGTTAGAGTATATTAATTTGCTCTTAGTTCTTTCCGTTGTTCTAGCCATAACCTTATGCTTGAAGAAGGTAGAAAAAATGGTCTTTCTGGAGATGAACGCTAATGTCCATTTTGTGTAGTCCGTGTAATTGAAACTGAGTATCATTTCTGCATTGAATGTCAATTTTAGTCTCAAAATAGTCTTACACCTAAGTATTACCATTCACAACCTTTATTTGATAAATTTTGCACTCGTATGTCTTGCCAAAATGAACATGTTATTAATAAATTAGCTAAACATATTTTTCTTGCTTTCAAGAAACGACAACAGTTTTTCAAATGTATTCAATAATTCAATTGTATCACTATGTATATCACTTGTATTATCTGGCGCCTGTTATTGTTGTAATCCACTGTATCCATATTGTATAATGGGCCGGTGGCCTCTTTACTGAAATAAACTCACTCAACTGAAAGTGTTAGAACTTTTTGACCAACCCTGGAACCAAACAAGCAGCAATCAATCTCTGAATGATTCTTCACCGAACACTCTCCTATGAATCACAACTTCAATTCTGAAAACATAGGCAGTCTGTAAATGATCGAACCTTGACAATCCAGTGATTGACTTCATGAGCGAGCCTGACCACCCGATCCCGTTAGTCACCTCTTACTACAAGCATGGATTACTGAAGAGCGATTCTAACCCGGAATCTTCACGGGACGCCATGTCAAAAAGCAATGACAATGTTGGTGTCCGTAATGATGGGTATCTTTTAACAAATTCAGTACTCACCCTCCTCAGATCTGAAACAGAATAGCAAACAGTAATTAGTAAATAGCAGACTAACAGAAAATCTTTAATCAATACTTTTAAGTCTATTCTCTCTCACATGTGCCTTAATCAGTTCATGGCCTATTAATACCCAGTCGATAATTAAGGATTGTTTTATATATTTGTTTATCAGAGGCTAACAGTCATCGATCCACGAATTTGGGATGCAATGACATGCATCAACCAACTCAGCGAGCCTGACCACCTGATACCGTTAATCGCCTTTTACGACAAGCATGGGTTGCTGAAGGCCTATTCTACCCCGGATTTTAGAAACAAACAAACAAACAAACCATGCCTAACACGTCATGTAAGCATCACAGTGGTTGAGGATAACGTTTTATGTTTGCCATTTCAACCAGTTAACAAAATACGGAAGTAATATCCTTATGGTGCGCATACTTAAAGCCACGGTTTATGGAGAACTAATTATCTTATCCTTGAAAGGCATCTTCTTGGCTAATCATGTTTGAGTGACCTATAGTCATACCTTCTGCGTCTTATTCTCCACCATCTGTACACAGTCGCAGTGATGATGATGATGATGATGATGATGATGAGTATGGCGAACACAGGGACAAGTATGGCAGCCAGTGGTGTTGAGGCAGTTTCTTGTTTTGTGCCACTTTCTGTAAAATAATACATCTATCTCAATAATGTTAAATTATGACAGAATACGTTTCTTCAGAACCAATACGTTTGTCTCAATTTAATGCTAAATTGTGCCAGAATATGTTTTGTGAATGAGTTACCACAGTTAAGTTAGCCTCGTGACATGTGACATTAAACACTGCATGCTAGAGTCTAAACTCATTTACGCAGGGTTAAATCTGCCGGTAACATAGCTCTACATGGGCAACACAAAATACAGAATGTTTCTACTGGAATGAACAACATTTACAAAGAAAACGATTATTTACAAAGTAATCAACACTATGTTCGAGCTCAGAAAAGAATTGTGAGATCCGGGGTAGAACAGGTCTTCAGCAACCCATTCTTGCCGTAAAAGGCGATTATGCTTGTCGTAGGAAGTAGCGACTAACGGGATCGGGTGGTCAGACTCGCTGACTTGGTTGATGCATGTCATCGATCCTAATTGCTTGGATCGATGTTTATGATGTCGATCACTGGATTCTGTGGTCCAAACTCGATTATATACAGACCGCCGTCATATAGCTGGAATATTGCTGAGTGCGGCGTTAAACAAGAAAAAAACCCAAAACAAACAAAATGCTTGTCGTAAAAGGCAACTAACGGGATCGGGTGGTCAGGCTCGCTGATTTGGTTGATGCATGTCATCGATCCCGATTACGTGGATCGATGATCATATTATTAATCACTGGATTGTCTGGTCCACACTCGATTGTTTGCAGACCGCCGTCATATAGCTGGAATATTGCTGAGTGCGGCGTTAAACAACAAACCAACAAACAAACTATTACAAACTTCATTACTTTCAATCCCCTGTTTATTGAAACTAATACAATTTACTTACAATAACTGACTTCTTTCGTAACATAATGTAATTATGTTTTTGAAGTGATCTATGATCAATATGATTACATGCTAAATGTACTCTCACTTTCCTTATTTAGCCTTAAGGGTCTCTCACACTTTGCCGAGTTGCGTCCCGAGTATGGACCCGGGCTGACTCGGGGGTACTCGTATGGAGCTCGTAGCGAGGTCGTACTAAACTCGGGGTAACTCGGGATACCTCGTACTGATCTACGAGAGTTTTGGAACTGCTCAAAACACCCAGGCCGCCAGCCAACTCCTAACAAACTCGTAACAAACTCGTCCTAATCGTAGTACCCTCGTGGCAACCTCGTGGTGTTCGTACAGAAAAAATGTATTGCCGAGTTGACCGAGTTTAATACGAGCTATGCCATCCTCCATGTTAAATCATGTGACAAATTCCCGCCGAATTATTTAGCAGCTCGTAGCCATCTCGTATCAAAGTCGTAGCAAACTCGTACTAACATCGTATAACTCGTATCGAGATTGTTGTGCTCGTATGCACTTTTAATAGACTCCTATAAAAATCCTATTGGACTCCTATTGGACTCCTCATGGGGCTCGTAACACACTCGTAGCAAAGTGTGAGAGCTGCTTAATTTGCTTACTTAACCACAGAGAAGAATGAAATTAATATCGTCCAGACAGAGTTGTCTGCCCCTCTTGCCAAATATCGGCACGAGATCTCGTCTGGCGCTGTTCGCCAATAGATCGCCATTAAAATTATTTGTATGCTTGTCACAGACTGTGTCAAACATATGCTTACCACATCAGGCGATTAGATATGCTTTTATCCCGAGAATTTTATGATGTTTCGCTGATATAACCCAAAGTGTTAGTTCTCTACTACTATAGTGTTATCCTGATGGGTATTGTAACAAATGTTGTATTTGGGATAACACTTTCTGAGTAAAGTACAGATTATCGTATTTTGTTTGGTTGAGTCCCATGCGGGATTTGAACCCACACTGCCACAGAGAGGCACCAAAGTCAGTGATCTAACCCACTCAGACACTCGCTGAGTGGGAACACATTCACCATAAACCATATTACTGGGAGTAACAAGTACCATTAATCAGATTCAGACACTTTTATTACGCTTTCCTAATCTCAGTGCTCGTGATGTGATCGTTCGATTAAAAATCACGACCAAATTTTACTATTATTTTGACTTCTACTGATGATAACAGGGAGCTTGTTAAAAAACATAGGTCATGCAATGAAAACCATGATTAAAACCAGTGGCAATGAGGTCACGAGTGTGATGACAGTGATGCTCACTACTGTTATATGGATCTCTGGGGGAACAGTGGAGGAACACGAAACCTTACATTATCCAGGTATTGATACTACAAGCACTCAGAATCCAACCAGACTGCTGTAGTGATGATATGATCACAAACGATAAGGCTATAGCTGATGCATCATGTAACCAATTCCACATTTCAATTTTGTTGAGTTACTAGAGTCACATGCCCTTTTACCAGGCATACCAAGGTGACTCAGCATATTCGAGATAATAGGAGGCATTCTACAACCCTAATATTACTAAATTAGAAGTGGCTGTCGAGAATGTGCTTAATCAGCTATATCACCATGGTATGCAAGCATTTCCACAGTGGGATGAGGTTTATACAATACCTTCTATAAAGCATAGTCCGGCTAGTACGGTTGTCCCTATTCCACCAGAAAATCAGCCAAAGCTTCCCAGCTAACACATAACATTTTTTTAAACATTTTCAAAAGGTTTCATTGTAGTTTTTCAAAAACCATTTTCGTCAAAACTTTTTATTAACGTTTTAGAATTTTTTTACAACTGTTCAAAATGTTATTGAAATGTTTTCAAAATTTTATTCAAGAACATCGTACTATAACATAGGCGAAACTATTTCATAACATGTTATTACAATGTTTTCAACACGTTGCAGAAATGTTTTGCCAGAACATATTTAATGAACTCTTATCATCATGTTTTAAATATATTGTGTACACATGTGTAAACACATCCGAATGAGGTGTAAATGTTTTATAATTATTCAAAATGTTAATGAAATGTTTTCAAAATGTTATTCAAGAACATCATGCTATAACATGGGTTATACTATTTCATAACATGTTATTGCAATGTTTTCAACACGTTGCAGAAATGTTACGCCAGAACATATTTCATTAAAAGTTCTCACCATGTATTAAAGTGAGTACCGATTACGATCCCAACAGCCTGGAGTTGAACGCAAGTTCCCTAACTAGCACACTCCGTTTTCATAATGTTGTTGATTGGCAATGCAGTAATATAGCATTTTCACAACAGTTACAGCTTAATCTGTAGACTAAATTTCTGTAGAAAATATAGCAGATGAGAGAAAGACAAAACTTCACATGATTTGTTTGTTGCTGATCACACTAGGTGTCACCGGCAAATACATTTAGTCGCGCATATTTTGCGGGGGCATGAGAGAGACCACTGAGAAGTGAATAAATATAGATCTATGGTAAGAGACGCATGCTCTCAAATTTAATTATTTATTTATCTAGTTATTAAAATGTCTTAAAATGTTTTTGAAAATTTATCACAAAAATAAATGTTTTTGACATGTTCTTAAAACTTTTGTAAAAACTGATATCACACAAACGTCTCGAAAACATTTTTAAAATGTTGTGACAAAATGCCTTGTTGTCTCGTGAAATGACGTCGGAATGACACTATTAGGTCATATTCTGTCCAAATTTACTCTACATCCAAATAACATTGTGCAGCAAGAGCTGGATCGTAGAACTCTGATTTCGTCAGGGTAAGTTAATTTCCAAACCCAGTGTCCGCTAATCTATCTGAATGGCATTGTGTAAATATAACATTTGTTGCATTTGACCACTTTCTAAAAGATGTATTCATAGCTTTCAGCCATGGGAGCCGTGCCAATTTATTCTTGTCAAAGGGGTACACAAAGTACGTGGTCCAGACTACCAGTTGTCGGACTTTCATTTTTATGGAAGCCTCAGTGGCGGAGGGGGTTGGACAATAACAATCCTGAAAGCCTAACACCTGCACCAGACACCAACCTTCACAATACTGAATCAGGGGCGGTCGGGTAGCCTAGTGGTTAAAGCGTTCGCTCGTCACGCCGAAGACCCGGGTTCGATTCCCGACATGGGTACAATGTGTGAAGCCCATTTCTGGTGTCCCCCGCCGTGATATTGCTGGAATATTGCTAAAAGCGGCGTAAAACCATACTCACTAACTCACTCACTCAATACTGAATCATCAAAGTGAAAACTTCAATGTGCATATGCGGAAAATATATTGCCTTATGTACTTGAACAATCAAATAATTCACATCAGCAATGAATGACATTTACCCGTGTTGAATGTAGAGCGTGTATTTCTTTAGGGTATTCCATAGGTCAGCTTGTGGCATATCATATTGTGTAGAAATACAGAGGGACAGTGCTGTACTCAAGTTGGTGGATACACCCAGGTGTTTCTCACGGCCTCGTAATGTTAATATCACGGTTTGTTTGATACCAAGTTCCTTTCAAACATAATCTGTCGTTGCAATCCATTGTTAGTAACAGTCGCATTATTAAGTGTAGCATTGAAATGAGGTTCACAATGCATAAAGGCCCTGGTGTAAACAACTATGGTAATACATGTAGCTGACTTGCACACCACTTGATATTTGAATACTTTACAGTTGGCTTGTTGGTTTGTTGTTTAACACCGCACTCAGCAATATTCCAGCTATATGACCGCGGTCTGTAAATAATCGAGTCTGGACCAGACATTCCAGTGATTAATAGCATGAACATCGATCCACGTAATCGGGATCGATGACATGCATCAACCAAGTCAGCAAGCCCGACCACACGATCCCATAAGTCGCCTTTTACGACAAGCATAGTCACCTTTTACAGCAAGCATGGGTTGCTGAAGACCTATTCTACCCCGGAATCTTCAGGGGTCGAATACTGTACAGAACATTTTTGATGTCTTACCAACTGCACCTGTCACCAACACACACAGCAGTTCAAGATTGATGTGACGGGACGAAAGAAGAGAATGTGACCGGTAACTTGTAATTAAATTCATATTATCAATGAAGTTGGTTGGTTTTCG